TAGATGGGCACTATATTTGCCCTTTTCCAGTCTTCTGGAATCTCTCCCGTTTCCCATGATTTTCCAAAGATAATAGCTAGAGGCTCAGATACCTCCTCTATTAGCTCCTTGAGTATTCTAGGATGCATTTCATCAGGCCCTGGTGACTTGCAGGCATCTAACTTTTCTAAATGATTTTTAACTTGTTCTTTTTTTATTTTATCTGCTAAACCTACCCCCTTCCCATTAGCATTCACTATGTTAGGCATTCCTTCAGACTTCTCGGTGAAGAATGTGTACTATTGTTCCCCTTCTGAAGAATAAAAATCAGATTGTATGTGTGAAGAGTGTTTTTAAAAGCAGTATGCAGATAGTAAATTATGTATTGTGTGAAACCTAGATTTGACATTTGTAACATTAGAACCTAGAGCATTTGTTGCTCAGTATTAGAATTATACTTGCATTTTAGCTGCTAGAAGATTAACAATATCCTTTTTCACGAAATTGGCTCAGTAAGAATCTGCTGTACAGATCATGCACTATGCTTTGTGCAGTTTTGCTTATTGACCATGGAGTATAATGATTTAGCTGAGGTTTTAAGAGATCAGTGACTAGTACTTTCCCTCAGTTCCTCTGCTTCTGTCTTCATAGCAGGTCCTGGAACCATCCACTCTCTGTTCTTTAAATGCCATTCCTTGGCAATAGACAGAATTTGTAGATAGATGTTAGTATTTTTTTTAATTAATTAAATTTAAATTGGGGTTTTTGTCTAGGTTTGTCGTCTTTCACTCTCCACTCCCAAATCAGAGGATCAGAAGAAAACATTGGGATTTTAAAAATGTGGGGTCTTAGTGGAAAATGTCCTTTACAAACCCATTGTAGGCCTACTGCTTTGAGATCCTGGGAGGGAGGGCATTCTTCCGGGGCCTGTAAAGGCTGTATTGTCCTTAGGGAAGGTGTATACAAAGTTATCCTCCCTTAAGAGGCCATTAGAACTGAACCAGTGCCAGTGCAGGTCTTCACATCTGAAATCAAAGGATCAGAGACCCTCAAATCCTTTCACATAAGTAATAGGAGTCTTCTGTTCTACCATTTATCTCCCTCTCCGAAAAAGAGACTGAGTACATCACACCTTGGGATTGGAGTTTTGTTAAGCAGCATTCTTCCTACCGAGCCCAGGATACTGAATAATCTTTTTCAAGGTTTGCATTTGTGGTTTTTTTGTGTGGTCAAAACCTCATATCTGGGCTGAAACCTAAACTACTGTTGCAGATAGACTAAACTCATCTCTCCCAGTTCATGATGGTGCCGTGGTCTGCTTTAAGCCTTCCCCCAAATAGACTTCTTATTGTCTTTTCTCTGGCACTCCCTAAATCCTCAATGAAAAGGAAACCTTTGCTGGGAACAGATGACTGAGAGGCCCGTAAGACGGATGGGCAGAGAGTCTGAGTTGGGGTTGGTGGAGGGAGGCAGTCAGGAGAATGGTGTAGGCTGTCTTGGCCTCAGTCCCTGCATTTTGGGAGGAGAAGGGGGTATGTTGAATCTTCTTGTTGCAGCAGCAGCTCAGGATTCAGCCTGGATTTGAAGTTACCATTCACATCTATCAGAATTTTCCAGAATTGGAATAGAAACAGGTAAGTTGAGCTAAAATATATAGAGGCTGACTGCAATAGAAACCTTTAAGAAGGCACAGCCATAGGTGAAATGTGCATGACACTGATGCCAGAGAACAGCCATCTAAATTCTCCCTCAACTTGGGAACACATTGCATTGTGAGTTGGCTAGTTCCCTCCAAAAGATTTTCAAATAATTTTGCTGTACTTTTTTCTTTTGTTTTTTGAAAAGCCGTCTCCCAATCCTGGTAGGTTTGCTGAGTCTCCTCAATAGGAAATTGACATGGAGTAATGTTAGCTGAAAGTTTGAGGATGCAAAATTTACTGTTAATTTGTGGGAGTAAAGTATGCTAAATTTGAGTTCCCTGTCTTAAGTAAATACTATAAATATAATAAGTAAAATTTGTATTTGCATTCCATTTAAAAAGCAGTCAGCCTATAAGCTCCCACAAATATTTTGTTTTTGTAGGAAGACAGCAGCGATGATGGAGGTCTTGTAGATGATAACTGTAATTCAGAGTTGGGACAGTGGCATCTGAAGCCTAATATCTGCATACAGTAAGTATAGAGATATATTAATTAGAACGAGCTTCAGACTAATACAATGTAAAACAGAATGACAGCACTAAGAGGGTGTCACTCAAACTTTATAAGATGCTGCTAACATACTGTTTATATGTTTAGAGGTTTCTATATTTTGCAGTATAATCTCGTTTTAGGATTTTGTGTGGAACTCCTTATGCACTGAAAATAGATATTCCCTTTTGGTTTGCTAAGGTTGAAAGACTTGCTTTTACAAGCATCTGAAGATATTTTTATTCTAATAAAGCTGCTGTTCTTAGTGACTTAATATTTAGGCTCCAGTTCAGCAAACTACTTAAGTTCCATCCCTATTTAGCAAAATACATAGGAAATTGCTTACAATTCAACATGTGCCTAAATAGATGTTGAATTAAGACATTAGTTGTGGGCATCTCAAATTAGCAGGGGAGAATGGGACAGATATTAAATAATATAAAGCTAAAATATTTATACAGTCTCCATTTCTTGCCAAAAAAATATTGTGCAGTTGTCCTCTTTCTTGCACCTCTTTCCCTGACTTACCTGTTAGGTGTATTTCCTTTGCTTTGTTCAGAACAGTCACAACAGAAAATCTGTTACTTCTGTAATTGCTTTTCGCTAAAACATTTCTTTCTATTGCAAACATGAGAACTGGATTCCAAGAACCAGAAAGCTATGAAAAAGCAAATTTATTGCCTATCACTAGCTTTAGTAGTTCACATTTTAAGTGATAAAAATGTAGGCTTCTAAAGTCATAAATGCTTTTTAATTAGCATTGATGCCTTTACAGCTTCCCTTCTATTCTTTCTCTACCTTTTAATCCTATTTTTCCTTCCTCGTTTTTCCTTTGTGTTATATTATATAATACAAGAAGGAAAAAAATGCAAGTATGTTATAATATTATAATATAAAGCTTACAGTAACAAATACATAATGGTTTAATGCATGTGTATCATCCATAATTAATTATGTTTTATGCCCTATTTATAACAGCAGAAATAAACCTAACTTGTGAGATGTAAGAATATCACAGCTTGAAGTGCAATGGCTTCAAGTTATGGTTTGAAATGAAATACCCCATGCAGATGGTGATTTCCCCCCTTTGACACTGCTCCCACCCAAAATAAAAAGGCTTAATGTGCCATGGATTACCTTTAGCACTTTGAACTCTAGTCTGTCTGTAGAAATGGACACATCACTTTATAAGCCATAAACTCTTTAATATCGTCACACATAACCATAAGGTCCCTTTTACTAACAAGATCCTCAAAGTGTCCTGTCAAAATCTTGGTTTAACAACAACAAAAATAATGTTGGGGTTTCATTTCTTTATTAATTTAAAATGCACCTCTTCCCTGAAACAATATTTTAATATTTAAAAACCCATTGCTTGTGTAAGTAATATACCTTGTTTCGAAGTTTAAAGGCTGTGCAATACAAAAATTTTTACAATTACTAGGCTAACATTTTTATTTTTACTATAAACATGGTTAAATATTTCCATTCTACTTTGAAAAGTAATTACTTGCAGTAGCATCATCTATAAAAGTATAAGACCGGGGTCCGCAACCTTTCAGAAGTGGTGTGCCGAGTCTTCATTTATTCACTCAAATTTAAGGTTTCGCGTGCCACTAATACATTTTAATGTTTTTAGAAGGTCTCTTTCTGTAAGTCTATAATATATAACTAAACTCTTGTTGTATGTAAAGTAAATAAAGTTTTTAAAATGTTTAAGAAGCTTCATTTAAAATTAAATTAAAATGCAGAGCTGCCCCCCCCCCCGGACGGTGGCCAGGACCCGGGCAGTGTGAGCGTCACTGAAAATCAGCTCGTGTGCCGCCTTTGGCCACGTTCCATAGGTTGCCTACCCCTGGTATAAGATGTAGTACAAAACAATTTTTGCAGTATCTGAACATTGCATTTGTTTTCTGTTGTTGGGAGTAGGCTGTTCATTTGGGTGCATGAATACAAGGACAAGTTGTCTCCACTGTTAGCAGTGATAAGTATATGAACAAGTAGCAAATATTAGTGCAATCTAACTTTTTCAAAAGGTGTTTTGCCTGATTTTTTTTTTTTTTTATGACTTTTCTTTTGCTTCAACTTTTACTGCCAGTGGTTGGAAAGTTCTGGAAACTAAATGCTCATGCAAAACTTTTTTTCTGTGTTAGGTTCACTGAGTAAGTTGAAGAGGTAGTTAGGTTTTTTCCCCAAAATATGGGAAACGTGTGTTTGGTTTTTTTTGTTGTTGTTGTTGTTTTTTGTTTGTTTTTTTAAGTGTAGACATTTGTTATGCCATTGTACTGACTTACAACTTAAAGCAGTAAATGAGTTTCTGAAATATTTGTTTATATTACTTATAAAAAAGAGGACATTGTCATTTTGATACTGACTATATATAACTGTATATTAAATCATTAACTGTATTTCTGTTGCAGTTATCTGACAATGTGTACTCTACATTTTCTTCATTGTTTTGTTTGCTGTTTTCCTAAAGGGACATTGTCAACTTGAAATCTAGTCAATTTAAAAAAAAAAAAAAGTTTAGTATAAGAGATGGAATCTCGGGAATTTACAAGTGCATTTTATTTTAAATGTCCTCCTTTTCCCTATTGCTGTGTGAAAGACGCACACAAAAAACAAAATTGATGAAGGCCTAATCCAGCTAAGTGTTTAAGCACATGCTTCATTTCCAGGATGCCATTAATTTCAATGGGATTAGTCACATAATTAAAGTTAAGTACATGCTTAAGATCTGGTAGAGCACTTAAATAACTGTACAAGAAGATCAAGGGCACTCACTGTACTCCCAGTTTTGTCAAATGCCCAGAGTTACACGTTGGAAGAATAGAGTAAGTTTTTTCTCTAATCTTTCAATGAGAGTATCTTTAGATCTTATGTGTAACAAAGGGTATGTCTACACTGCAAAGAAAAACCCGTGGCACTGAGTCTCAGAGCCTGGGTCAATTTACTCAGGCTAGAAATAGCAGTGTAGACATTCCTGCTTGGGTTTGAGCCTGGGCTGTGAAACCTAGCGAGAGGGAAGAGTCTCAGAGCCTGGGTTTCAGCCTGAGCAGTAGCGTCTACACTGCTATTTCTAGCCCCACAGCTCAAGACCTGCGAGCCTGAGTCAGTTAACCCAAGCTTTGAGACTCAGTGTAATAGGTTTCTCTTTGCAGTGTAGACCTAGCTAATAAGTAAATAATTTTCAGACACAATGTGATCCTTTAAAATTAACATTTTTAAATAGCCACTAAAGCTTTCTGGACTTAGTGAAATGTTAAATCTAGAGATAACTTATTTTGCACTTATACTGACTTCAAAACAAGTTGTAATATAACTTTTTGTGCTTTTCTAATTGTTATAAAATGCTTAGTACTTCCCAGTGTGTAAAAAAACAAACAAACTTTTTCTCATTCATAGACCCTGCATTCTGCTTATGGACTCCCTGAGAGGCCCTTCCAGGTCAAATGTTGTGAAAATACTAAGGGAGTAAGTTCTAAACCTGGAATTCCATTTTTTTTTTCAAAAGTTTTAACATTCCATAAGGATAAAAAAAGTCTTGATTTCTGTACACCTTTTGTCACAGATATTTGGAAGTAGAATGGGAAGTCAGGAAAGGTAGTAAAAGAAGTTTCTCCAAAGATGTCATGAAAGGCTCCAATCCAAAAGTGCCACAACAGAACAACTTCAGTGATTGTGGAGTGTATGTACTGCAATATGTGGAGAGCTTTTTTGAGGTAAGTTTACTTGCTTCTGTCATGGTATTTATTTTGTATCCTGCATTAGTCAAATAAAACTTAGTTTAAAGAATGGGAAGCATTCCAGTGCAACAGGATTTATGGGTGTAGTAAAACAAGTTTGCAAGATGAAACAAATCCATTCTGGAAAAGACAATAGTTCTCATATTTAATGATCACACAGAAAAAGTGTCACAACATACAATTTAGAAGATATGGATGTTTCTGAGGAAAACATTAAGAAAAATGATGTTTTCCATTGCTGCACACAGTGCAAACATATTTTTAAATTATGCCTTCAGCAACACAGTTTTAAGTGAGCCTTGTAATCAATTCAGCTTTAAACACAAAAAAAGCTTCTATTAACGTTTTGACAACCTAGTAAGTATATCTAATTCTTGAGGGTTTTTTCTTCCAATAATCCAGGAAATAGGGTTTTGAATATACTCAGTTACTGTAAACTTCTCTCATTGGACTTCTCACTACACTAGAATTTAAGAAGCTCAGCCACCTGGATGTGCAGTTAAATTACTGAATTGTTACCAGATAAGAACCAAATCCTTGTTGCATTGAAATAAAACAGTATAACTCCCATGATTTCCATAGGACCAGAATTTGACTTTGATAAGCTTCTCTTTTAACTTTCTTACATATTTTATTACTTTTACCTTCAAATTAGAGCCTAATGCACACTTCCATGTGAACTAACCTGGGGAACATGGCAGGCAAGAACTGTCTTCATGATATATTCCCTCTTTGCATGAATCTGCAGTCATGAGGTACTAGAGGTTCCAATTCTTCATATGGTGAAGGAGTTAAGAGGCAACCAAGTTCTGTAATCATTTTCAGCCCACTCACCCTGCAGAATAGTTCCTAAATTACTACAGACTGAGTCTTTCACCCTATCTGGTCTGTCAACATGATTAAAGAAATTGTCAGTCAGGGATGCTCCTTGCCTCTGGCATATCCCCTGTGAGCCACATTATACTGCAGGAAATAACATGTGGGGGAGAATTTGGCTCTTAATCTTGTATTAGATGCACAGTCATTGAATATTTTTGAGTTGATAAATAATCCAGTCAGTTTTGGTTACTAATATATTTGAAAATTACAGAAAAGTCCCAATAATTGTTTCAGCTACCAGGCAAATAGCAGAAATTAAAAAAAAAAAAAAAAAAAAAAAAAGTGGTGTTTAAGGTAAAGCAGGGGCCATAACTGTTACTAAAAAAAGTGAAGAAAAAGAAATAGAGGAAGGGAAGCAGCTACAGAATGTTATTTCTTGTACTTTTTTCCTTAGACATGGATTTATTTAAAATCCATCTCTACTCATATTTAAAAACCTAACCTATATGTTTTGAAAGTAAAACAGCTTTGACCGACAAATACAATAATTAGGAAACATAAGAGATGTCTCTTTCTTATCATGCTAAAAAGTAATTACCGTATATACTTGTTCATAAGCCGAATTTTTTTAGTAAGAAAGGAAAGCCCCAGAGAAGGGGGTCGGCTTATGAATGGGTATAGAGCCCCCCTCCCCAACAGAGAGAGCAAGGAGAGGCAGCACAGCCAGAAGGGAAGAGGCGGGGCCAGAGTCTCTCCGCTTTTGGCCACGCTGCTTCCCGGGGCTGTAGCTCCGGGGCTGCAGCTGTGCCACTCGGCCTCGCCCCCCAAAGCAGGCTGTGGCCGCACCGCCCAGCGTGCCGGAGCATGCTGCAGCCGTGCCGCCTGGCCCAGCCCACTGGAACATACTGCGGCCGCGCCGCCAGGTCTGGCCTGCTGAGCAGGCTGCAGCCATGCTGCCCAGCCTGCCAGAGCAGCTCCATCCAGGTCAGAGACATCCTCCCCAGATAAGGTGGGAAGGGATGGGATGGGGAGAGTGTGGGGGTCCCAGGCTAGGGGTGGGGTCATGTGGGGAGTGGTCACAGGTTACTCCCCTGACCCCCAGATTCTCCCCCTCAAAAACAATTTCCCCACCAGTTGCTGTCCTGGCCTGTCAGGGTAAGCAGCTGGTGCGCCGGGACGCTTTGTTTACTTAGATTTACCTCCGTGCCTGCGGATACTCGAGGTAAACAAACTATGTCGGCCCACCAGCAGCTTATCCTGATGGCCCAGGAGCCAAAGTTTGCTGACCCCTGAATTATAGAGTCGGCTTATGAACAGGTTATAAAAAATTTCCATTTTTACTAATCCATCTTGAGGGGGTTGGCTTATAATCAAACCAGCTTATGATCGCGTATATACGGTACAACTGACCATACATTAATCTAACTGAAGGTAGCTATATCAGTCCCAGGATATTAGATACACAAGGTGGGTGAGGTAACATCTTTTATTGGACCAACTTCTGTTGGTGAAAGGGATTTCAAGATTTTTATATTTGTGAGTTCTAGAATGTGCCATGGAAACCTGCAGTAGTCTATAAATGTTTTATAGTAATCGTTGTAATTTGGTCAGATCTCTTAAAACATAATCACTCAGCACAGTAAAATGTGTGGCTGATACATCTCCAATGAGAAAAGAATGATGCTGTAAGAAGTGATGCTGGTGACTAAATAGGATAATATCCTTTTCTCTGATCTGTTTAAAGCAGTGCCCAGCAAGGTGGTAAGGAGTGCTGTGCTGCTGAAGGCACTGCTTTTCAGATGAAATGTAAAATTGAAGTTCCTGACTAATTGTGGTCATTAAAGACACTTACATGAGTAGGGGTATTAACCCAAACGTCATGATCAGATTCCAGTTTGGGTTATTACATTCAGGCTACCAAAATTTTCCATAAAAATGGTAAGATGGTTTTCTTTTTGTTCGAAATCATTAGTACTAACATGTGAAAGCAAGGTCTGCGTGTCCAAAAGATTTTGCAGTCTAAATAAAATATTTGTGCAACTTTTGTGTTAATTCAGTCATACTGCTTTGGTTAAACATTAGTGTATGTCAGGTTACTCCATGATTTATTTGAATTTAGGGGGGAGTGTAAAACAAAAATAGAAGTCCATTCCCTGATGCCTGGAGGGGAAGGAGGAAGGAATGTATCTTTTCATTGATGGGTGGAGTGATTCCTATATCAAATTATCTGTAAAGTGGTTTGAGATCTTTTTGGATGGAAGGCACTATTTTACATTTATAAATAGCTTTATGTCATTTCTACTTTCTAAAGTTTCTATAAAATGTAAGCATTTAATAACCAGTATCAATCATCTTGCAGATCATGTGGGAAAACATTTAATGGTAGTCAAATATGACTTTGAAAAATCTAGTTCCCCAAGATGATTACAGAGATTCCTTTGTTACTCACTACAGAGCGAGAGAACGTTTTGGTGACAATTCCAGATTCTCAATTGCATTGTCTTGTGTTTAATATCACTGGGTTGTATAAAGATTATGTTATAATACTCATCTGAACTCTTTCCAGAATCCCATTCTCAATTTTGAGCTACCAATGAACTTAACAGACTGGTTTCCACGCCCCAGAATGAAAACTAAACGAGAAGAAATACGAAACATAATCCTGAAATTGCAGGAACAGCAGAACAAAGAAAAGAAGGGACAGAAGGACCTACGTTCACCAGAAGGATCTCTGCAGGAAGCAACAGAACAATTTATCAACAGTAGCTCAGACTAAATATTATGTCTGTTGCATGTTAGCTCTGCAGTCAAAAACTGAAATATATTTTATCTTTGTCTGCCCAGACTAAAGAATTGGAGTATTCTCTGCTCAAAAGTTATTTGGGAATGTTAATGCCTGTAAAAATGTGTGTCATAAAAGGAATACATTCCCAAAAAGATATGTATTAAGTAAACAAGTTTGTACATATGTTAATGAGGCCAACTTTTTCAGCATTTGTAATTAATTTTTTTCACTTGTTAGGAAGCTTTTGTTATGTATTTCTGTTAATAGAACTTAAATAGCTACTTCTAAACATAAAGCAAATAAAGAAAATATTTATAGGATGAAATGGTTAACTTTTTCTTTTTCAGTAAAATTGTCATGTAACACATAGGGGATGACCTGGTAGCAAGATAATTAATTCATATTGTGACCTTTACATTTGCCCTTACAAGATTATTCTGCTTGATATACAAACAATGAGTACGTGTCAAAATGCACTGTGACCCCAGAGAGGGTAATTCACATGCTCACATACAGTATCCAAATGTAAGCAATGTAATTGTTAAATGGGAATGCTTCAGATTTTGGGTCATGAGAAGATATGCATTTCTTCTTTTTTTAAACAGCAAACACAGTTGCTCTTTGACCAGAGATTACTACTCAAGCAGTATTATAACAGTTTCAAATAAAGTGGTCTTGAGTGATACTATTAAATCATATTTTGTGAATCCCAGATGTTGTACAGTTGTATTTTGAAAGTTCCCTCACTATAAAATTGTATTTTGGTAAGTGTACTTGGATAGCAGATTGCCCACATTACATTTTCTATGTTACAATTCTGAATGTCACATTCATATGTGCTTTATCTAAGTAATGAACATTTACAAATGTATGATTACTATTTTTTGTAATGTCCACACCAAAAAAACCAAAATATCAGTGTTCATTGCTTGCTTATTTGTTTATTCTTGATTCTAGGTAGCATCAAACTAAGCTGTTGGAAATAATTAGTTTATTTGGATATTTTCACAGTGTAATCTGATTTTAAACAATATAAAAACACAGCCTTATAAAGCCAGCATTTCTTGTAGTACAGAACGAAGCCACTACCTTGCACAGCCCTTTAAATATTAAAAAGGTTTTGTTATGCAGATGAGAGAATAAGAACTGTTGTTGCAAGGGTCTTGAATAATTCAGTCCTTCCTTAACATTAATTAATTTATATACAGGGAGGGGGAAATTGCCCCCTCCCATTTAAAAAAAAAAATCTGCGGGAGAGGTGGGGAAAACAAAGGTTCACCCCACCCCACCCCGCAGTGTTTTCTCCAAATTCTTTGGTGAGTGTGCTTTGCTGCCTCCTTCTCCTATTGTCAAAGAACCAGGGAATTCAGCTCCCAAGCCCTGTGGGTCCGCTGAGATCAGCTAGAGACACTGGCCCATCCACATGCAAACTTGTGCTTCTACATCAGCTTTTCACACACTAGACCCTAACAGCATTGCCAAATAACTTGTCCTGCCAGGGAAATCCTACACAGATAGCTGTCGGTGAACCCACCCTTCAAATAGGGTTTCTCAGAAAGGTACCATGATTGCACAACCTTGGGATGTTACCTTTTGCATAGCTTGACCCTGGGATTTGGGGGAGGTTCTGTACATTTCCCCACACCTCTTTTCTCCATGCATGAATCCTGGACCACACAGGGAGCCCTCAGAGGGGCCTGGGAAAATGTGGATGCTACTGATATATTAGGGAAGATGTGTACACAGAGATTTCCCTTTGCATACAAGTGTGGTTTAACCTCTCTTGTGCATAATATTAAATATGTCATACACATAACTCTAGTCATGTCCTGCATTCTTGCCATTGTCTGGGAAAGTCTATGATAAAAACAGGGTCAGAAAGAAGACAGGAGGGATGGGAAGACAATAAACAGAGTGCAACTAACAATCTAGAATAGTTGCTTATACAAATGCAAGTAAAATCAAAAATACAGGGGGAAACTATTGAGATCTAGATATACTTGCAAATAGAAAACATTTTATTCCTTCTCAATCCAGTCTTCCTCCCAATTTTTCCCTAATGAAAGATTCTAATTATATATAATATATCGTAATGTGATCAATATAGCATTGTTCCTTTTATAATAATTGTGGTACAGCTTTCAGGGTTTCTGATACTTTAGAACTATTTCCATTCTCTTCCTAGGAATGGTCTAGAGCTTATTTTTCCCACTTGGGATGTGAGGAATAAAAATGCTTGATTTATCATTTTAATGTTAAGTCTTGAGACCTTCAGTCATGCAGCAAACTAATACGTATGTTGAATATAGAAAAAAAATTATTTTTTTAATAAAATGTGATAGAAAAATGCAGAATTAAGAATTTGACTTATTTAAAACATTTCTTGAATCAGATTATACAAATTTATGTATGTGTGATGTTTGTTTTAGAGAATTACATGTTTTGATAGTTTGAGGGACTTCACCACTGATCATTTGGGACCAGTTTTATTTTATAAAAGTTTAGTGCAAAAAACTGAATATTTAAATATCCACTTTAAGTGTGTGTGTGTGTGTGTGTGTGTGTGTGAGAGAGAGAGAGATAAAAAAAGAACAACGTTTTAGGTGCATATTTCTTTAAACCATTGTGATAAGATTTAGTATTACAAGTACTCTTCAAAAGTAGCATGATTCAGTTGTTCAGTGAAAGCTATCAGGTACCTGACTAATTAGATGTAACTGTTGTATTGGCTTTCATGTTGGATAGAATAACAGTTAAGAATTCTTATACGAGTTTTAGATTACTTTGCATAAAAAATTCATGCCTCTATGGTAAACATTTGGTGGATAATGTCAGAAGTAGAGATGACATTTAAGTCATCCCTTATGACATTCTTAGTTTTCTTGCTTAAGTAGCTACAGTAATGTGCACATGTGTGCACACATCTTTTAAAAGCACGAAAAACTGGAAGAAGAATATTTTGTTAATCTACCACAGGGAAAAAATGACCACGCTATTCTCTTGATTTGGAAACTAACTTCAAAGTATTCAGTGAGGAAACAATTTAAAAAAAAAAATCCTTCCCCATAAACGAAGAAAATGCACTGCTGCTTGGTTTTTAATTATACACTGTATATTACACCGTGAAGGAAGAACAATATGCCTTTGCATTTTGAAATCATGAAGCTTTTTTCCCCTTTCACTGTTTTCAAAAAATAAACAGACTTTTTTTTATTGAACGTCGGCTTCCTGAGGTTACAAATACATCATATTGAGCACACGCTGTTCTTATTTTCAGCATCTGTGTTCATATTCTATAACAAGCTTGGTTTTGTATTGTCTTTGATTAACATGTTAAAACACTTAAGCATCATATAATGAAATTTTCATATAAAGGTGCTTATACTTTACAGTCCTACACACCCCATTTGTTGTTTAAGGACTTAGCTTGAGAGGTGCTGAACACGCTTAACTCTTGAAGTCCTGGTACGGGGACCTTGCTTCTTTTAGGCATGAAACTTGCCATCTTTTAAAAAATGTTTTGGAGTTGCTTTGATATTCAGAATTCCAGGAAGGCCTATAAACATCTCTGTGTGCACAGTGTGCTTGGATGCACTAGGAGAGGTTGCTGAGTGCAGTAGTTTCCTGGAGTTCATGTACACTTTCCCATCTCTCTCTGGAAATAGCCACCGTTACTCTCTCTGTCACGATCTCAGCCCATAACCGAGGTGGTCAAGATGACAATGACCTGGACATGTTTCACCGGATTCTTTCAAGCCAAATCCCCATCTCTCTTAACACCGTTGTACCTGTTTGTTGATGTGATGAAACATATGTTCTGGCTCTTAGGACCCAACTTAGTGCAGTTGTACTCTGGAGAATGACTGTGGAGTTTGGTTTGGGTCTCTCTGACTCAGAGCCAGTTGGGTCCCATGTACTAATAACTACCAGCTGCCAACCCCGCACCCTGAATTCTAGCTGTTAAATTGTTTTCTTTATTACATGAGCCTCATTGCTAAGGCTATGATTCTGTCACGGATTCCATGATTTTAAGAGAGGTCCACAAGTTCGGGCTCCAGCCCTGGACGGCAGGGCTCGCGGAAGGAGTGCTACCTCCACCTCCTGACTCGCCTCATTGGGTCATCCAGCTGGTGGGTCAGTGTCAATGCCTACATTGTAATACTTTATTGTTAAATTGTTACACATTTTTTGTTGCTGTGACGTATACCCTGACTGTACATTTTTACCAGAACTGGTCTGTGAATTTTGCCTAATTTTACTGACAAAATCATATCCATAATCTCTAGTAATAAAAAATGTGTTGTCAGAAAGGAGATAATCCTGTTTCTGCATATGGGTAATTATAAACTCATTAGTTTTGAGGTATTTAAAGATAATTTCATTGTTAGATCTTTAAAGGATAAGAATGTATTTTCCTTTTATAAATGTTTATATGAAAAAAAAGCAGAAAGAATGAAGTCTAGTAAAATAACTTAAACCACTGAAATATGATAGAGAAGAAGCACAACCTAATCAGAGCACTAAGAATATGATTATGATTTGATTGGGAGTTTAAAATTGCCACTATAAGTTGGATATTAAATGCAAATAGTAAGTTAAAGAAAAGCAGCACAATTATTTTAGTTTAGCTAATTTCCACACCATGTTGCTTCATTCCTGGAACTTTCATGGAAATGGTGGTATACAGCAATATGCCAGATAGCACCTATGTCCTGTAATACAAGTAAACAAGGTAGGCCAATGCAAAAGGAACACTCGGATCATTACATCATTTAATTGCACTTCTTGTGGGAAATGAATCTAAATGTAGTCCTGTGGTGCGCAGGAATGTAAATAAACAGATAAACATGCTTCTGACTTAAAAGAAAACATTTACTTTGTTCTGAGCATTAAACTGCCTGTTTTGTGAACCACACTGAATCAATGCTGCACTATAATCTCTCTAAGTTACCAGGGTGCAATAAAAGGCTGTGAGAAGATATACAAAAGCTTCATCCCATCTGAGTGACCTTAGGAAACTTCCGGACTGTAATACTGCATCCAAAAAACCACATTAAAAGGATGTTGAGGTTGCAAAGTCAGGAAGTCATAAATTAGGAAATGCCTGATTTAAGATTGTCTTTGCACAAGATAGACAATGCGCATTGAATAAGCAACTATTCAACATTTCATTTTAGCCCCATTGTTCAGCATGTAGCCCCATGCCTTGTTTACTGAACACTATTCAAACCCTGCTCTAACTACAGAACTATTAATTTCCTCATATGCTTTTTCTATGGTGCCCATCACTAGCTTATGCATGCGTCACAAACATTGAATGAATTTATCTTCACAACACCCCTGTGAGCTGAGGGCTGTTGTCCTCATTTTACGGATGGGGAGCAGAGGCACGGAGATTGTCAAAAGTCTACACTAATTTTGGGTGCCCAATTTAGATGCTTATGGGCTGAGTTTTAGAAAACTTGCCATTTTACAATGCAGCTTCCACTGACTTCAGCTGTAAGTATCCACCTTTTGCAACAAATGAGGCAGACAACAGTTTTCTTATCTATATAACCATGATTCATTCCCAAAGTAGGTCCAGCCTGTGAACTGAATGAGGCAGGGTCCTGTGGAAAGAATAGTATGCAATCGTGTAATTAAAGACTTTCTTATAGTACAGGGGTGGCCAACCTGAGCCTGAGAAGGAACCAGAATTTACCAATGTACATTGCC